TAAACCTACCTGACTGAACTAGACACCTGGCATCCTTTATTTGCTTCAAGTTCATTAATACTTATAATACAGCTGCTGAACTGACGTTGGGTGCTCATACTGGTTGAACTGAAGCTGAAATGCAGCTAGCGTGTTTGGTGATATGACGTGTGGAATTGCGTAGAATTGTGTAGATTGTTGTTGGGGTAGAAGAGTCAGAGCGCACATTACGTTGAGTGCATGCTGGGGACTGTGGCGCAGCGCATTGTGAAATGGGCTAATATTAATAGAAAATTGAACTAATTTTGCGGGCCGGATAGGATTGTGTCGCAGGCCTGATCTGCCCCGCGGGCCTTGTCTGTGACACATGGGCGCTAACATATGAATCATATGAGTCAAAAAGAGCTATTGCATCTTTCATAGCTGCTGCAAAGGGGTCAATGGACAGCGCAACAATTTCTGTTTATTTGCTAATTAACATATTGAAAAAATAAAACACAAAATATAAAATGTGCCATAAATGTAATAAAACCAATATGTTAAATACAGCAAATAAACAGTAATGTGCAGGAGTCTGTCTTTCATCACAGAAAACATTGTTTTCTCTCTCTGTGGTAATGGAACAGGGTCATTTTCTAATGATTTAATGAAATTTCAAATGGCCAGAATGCATTAGGCTAGTTAGTGGTTATTATGCTCACTATAGCAATGTTTTGGGACCTGATGCTCGCTAGTTGCATCATAATGTCTCGTGTGCTTTTTATCCTCATGAGACACCACTGTAAAAACACAGGGAACACCTATTTAAACTAAGGACTACGTGACTGTGCTGCCTAAGGGCCTCTGATGATTATGTCCCTTGTCACTGTGCAGAACACGAGAGTCTCTCCTCACTCTCTGAGCGTCTGTGAGTGTGTGTGTGTGTGGGGAAAAAAACACAGATCACCTGCTGAGCTCTTAGGATTGTGTTGTTTTCAAGGGGTCTCTTGGAGGCTTGGTTAACCAGCCACCTCTGCCTGCTCTCCTCAGTGCACATGCTAGGTTCATTCAGCATAAGGTTGGCCTGTATTCCCGTTTTAAAAATCAATCAGCTTTAGAGCACAATAGGGCTTTTTTAAATATCCTGATATATGGATATAATCAGTTCTACAGTGGTATGCAAATGTTTATCTGCTGATGTTAATGCAGAGTTACATTATATTTGATTAATTTAAAAAATATGCAGTAATAAAATTGCACTTGTGGCATGTGCAAAAACACCCTCTTTGGCAGATATCAACTTCCAGACTCAATGAACCATGAACATTCAAACAACGCTTTGTATGATTAATGGGTTCTTTGTATCATGAAAGGGTTCTTCAGATTGATGGAGGGTTTTTGTGTATGTTTTTGGAATTTTCTTTACTAAAGAACCCTTGAAGAACCCTCATTTTTAATTGTGTAGGTTTAATCAACTTCCATAAAGGTTAAATACTACCACTGTTATGTTAACACCAGGATTGAGAAATACTTCAAAGGTTTTTTTGTGTTACTTTTGGTGCAAACAGGGTTGAGCAGTATAACAGTAAGAAGGTTTACCACTGTATTTAAAAAGGAAGCTTAATTTCAAAATTATGACATTAAATTTCTATTCCACATCTGAACGGCTAAATAAACACTTTCCACTCACTGATTGACGGTGTGGGAGGTCACCAGTAGGGGGTGCTGATAGAAAGAGGGGAAAATCAGAGCCAGGGAAAACCTCAGGAAAACGAAGCATGGTAGTGGCTCAGCCACGGTTTGGAGCGAATGATACACACACCACAGCTTTCACACTAACACCAGTCACTCTACTTTGCGCTCAGACATGTCCTCTAAATGGTTATCATTTTAGCGGCAGTTAGATGGATTGAAGCCTGTGCTGTAGTGTGGCACATTTGGCCTGCCGACTAAGCTCTTGGTAGCTTAGCCAAAACACTACAGTCCCAAACACGACAGAACAGGTTAAATTTTGATGTTCTGTCACTCCAACAACGGCCACTCGACTTTTACTTTCACTGACATTAGTTTTTAATCAACTACACTTGTGTCAGCAGAGCACAGTTACTCAGAATCAAACCTATACTGAGGTGTGTGGCACTGACTGGGTCTGTAACCTGCTCACTAAGATAACTAAGGTGGACAGTCAAACTACAGATTCAAATCCAACAGAACAGTTTTAATTTCACCATTCTGTCCTTATGGTGCTGGAAATGACTCAAATATAACTGTTATGCTAGTTATATTCAACTCCCTTGGAGGTTAAATGCTAGCACTGTTATCAAATGGTGTGATTAATACCTTATAGATGGTGGTCTTCCTCACTTAGGGTACTGGAAAATCCCCTTTTTATTGGTTTTCTTATTTTACTTGAAACATGTAAGCACCTCGTATTATGTTCTTTTATTTTTATTTATATTAATCACCTTGAATGGCCTTTATGTGTGAAACATGCTATATAAATGAACTTGCCCTGCCCTACCTTGCCTAGAGTCAGTTTGAAAACATGCAGTGGCCAGCTTTAGATATATCTAAGGTAAAAATCATGTCACGTCGCTAAACGTGCACACAATGTTATCAGATTTGGAAAATAAAATAATTTTACTCTTCTTGTTTAAGCTCCATACATCATGCCTGAATGAGACACACAATGAAATACGATGAAATATTTATTATGTAACTACTTTGGCGGCCTCTTGTGGACCCAGTCGGTATTGCATATCTGCAGTTTTCTCTGCCACATAGTGCCACTCCTGCTGCTCCCACTCTCCCACCTGCACATTATGGAAAGCAGACACATTACATCCGCAATCCACAGAAGCCTCAGAGCACACGTTAAAGCCGACACGAGTCAACAGTGCTCATGCACACGCCTCCACAGTATTTCCCTAAACGTTCTGTTCCAAGTGTCCTCCTCTTAGACCACTCAGCACCAGACAGCACCCACCGGCCCTATTAAGAGCATGTCAAATCTTCTAACAGAATCCCTTAATGCACTCCATGCCTCTCCCACTCACGCCCACACCGCTGAGGCGATGCCCAGCCGTGCTATTGAAGATCTTTTTTATTATAGATTTTTTTGTATACTGTTATATGAATCTATAAAATCCCTACCCCATACTGAATACACAGTGTCTCCCAAGTCATCAGCAGGAAATGGAGGGGGCTCACCATTATCGCCTTGCTCGTTTTATGGCCTATGGATTTTCCGGATGGACCTGTTTACAGACTAAATGCAGTGCAACAAATCACAGATTGTCGCTGTCATATCGGAACGCTTTTTTTCCCCCTGTTTATTTTTGAAAATGCCAGCTGCCTGTTGCGTTGTATTTAAAATCCTGTTATAATCTAAGATCTTGTTACATGAACGTACATTAAAAAGAACAAGATTTTTCTTCTTTCTTTAGGACAGTTATGATAAACTGCACTCAGTAATCTATTAAACACATAGAATATTTTATTTGTTCTAAAATCACAATATATTGACAATCAAAGTGCATTTTCCATTTTCTCCCAAGAGGACACTTTGTCTGTTATTCATAACTGTCAGCACAGGCTGTATGTTCTGTCTTTGATTTCAAAGGGAGGAATATAAAATACGGCAGCAGCTGCCCAGCTATTGATTTATGAAGATAAAGTGGTGTTGTTTTCAGACAGCCACGTCCACTGGAAGTTATTAGAAAGTTGACAGTGATGAGTGAGGAAGCTATCAACAATAATGGCCAAGCTGAAATATGTTAGCAGTCAGAGGAGTCAATCAGTGGGAAATATCTGGGGGATTATTTACTGTTATTGCTGGTGTTTCTGTATTAGAACTTGTTTCACCTTTAGAGGTCACAGCTATAACCTGCATATGAATTATTTCTCACTTGTAGCTCACTAAAAGAAGCAGATATACTTTTAATGAGATTTTTGAGGAGAAGGTCCACTTGCATAAGGAAGATCAAAGGTGAAATAAATGAAAATAAAATCCAAAACTGGAGTTCAAACAATAATCAAAAAATTGACCTGGAAGACCACTCAAACTGTCCCCATCAGATAAACCCTGCTTAAAGCTTTCATCTTTGAGAGAGAGGAGAAAATCAAGCTCCTCTGTGAAAAAATCCACAGCTGTTTCTGTCCATCCTTCCACTGTGAGAAGACAACTCAACACTATGGGTCTGAAAGGATGTGTAGCTCTCAAGAAGCTCTTACTGAGAAAAGGACATAGATAAGAAAGAATAGACTTTGCATTATAACACTGAAACTGGAAATCTGAGATGTGACAAAGTTTTATAGACTGATGAATGTAAATTTGTCAACAGGATTTCTTAGATTATGAGATTCAGAAAGTGTGACCAATTTCTAAGACTGATTTTTGGATATATATGTTGGAAAAATATCCTGAGTCTCCTGAAAAGTATGCAAGAGTTAGCAAAGACAAAGATCAGACACACTAAATACCAAAACAAATAGTTATATTAATTGTTATGGTTTTTGAGTAATTTTCGGATATTTATTTTTCTGAAAATGAAATAACTTGTACTTTATAACTGTTTAAAATAAACAAATGAAAGGGTGGTCTCTGACTTTTGCACAGTGCTGTATCTGTCATTTTTTGACATCAGAACAAGCTGAAAAGAGTCAGAAGCCCAAACTTCAATCTGTTGAATGTAAAAGCAATTCATTATGTAACTGTGTAATTATAATGTAACTATTCATTTATATTACATTAGTATAGCAAAATGACAATGACTCCAAACATGTAAATAAGCTTATAAGCAATAAGCAATCAGGCTCTGTATTCATAAGAGCCTTTGTTTTTCTCCAACAGTGCTTAGATGTCAGCTCTCAGCACCCTGTTTTAAATATACGCACACACCCCAAAGTACCCAAGCCTGTTATTACTGTCATTTTCTCAGACGTTGGTGTGTCATTTCCTGTCTTTTGGCTTTCTTGGTGAGACTCTATTCTGAAGGATTTGCGTGAGGTTGGTTTGATGTCCGGTTTAATTCTCTCCTCAGTTTGAGCAGCTGGCCTTCCTGTGGATGGAGAGACAGAAGTCAGGAGGAAACTACAGCCGCTATAGAGCACAAACCGAAAAGCACGTGGTACTGTGTGTGAGCTGCCTGAAGATAGACCTCCTCATGGACTTCCTCAATGAGTTCTTCGCCCATCCTAGACTGCAGGTGTGTGGGCAGGGTGTGTGTGTGTCCAGATAAGCTTGTGTGCGTGTATGTAGACATATTCATAAATGTGCATGTTGATAACATGTATAAACACTGTGTGACCAAAAGTACGTGGACATTCCTCCTATTTATTGAGTTCAGGTATATCAGCCACACACATTGATAACAGATGTATAAAATCAAGCACATAGCCCTGCAGTTTCCATAGACCAGGGGTGCCCAATCCAGAGTCTGGAGATCTACCACCCTGCACAGTTTAGCTCCTGCCCTAATCAAAGACACCTGATCCAGGTAATGAAGGCCTTCAGGGGCATCTGAGTATTAGAGCCAGGTGTGTTGGATTTGAACTCTGGAGTGTGGTAGATCTCCAGGACCGGGATTGGGCACCCTTGCCATATACAAATATCAGTAGAATTTGTTGTACTGAAGAGCTTGGTGACTTTAAATGTGGTGCTGTTAAGCCACCTTTGCTACAAGTCAGTTTGTGGAATTTCTACTCTGCTAGATCTACCCTAGTCAACTGTAAGTGCTATTATTGTGAAATGGGAGTGTCTGGAAGCAACAGCAACTCAGCCACAAAGCGGCAGACCACACAAACTCACAGAGCGGGGTCACTGAGTGCTGAAGCATGTAGTGCATAAGAATCATCTATCTTCTGTTGCGTCACTTACTACTGACTTCCAATCTGCCTCTGGAAGCACAATCAGAATAGGAAACATGCGTCTGGAGCTTCATGAAATGAGAGTTTTCATGGCTGAGCAGCTGAACACAAGCCTAGGCCTAAGATCGCAATGACAGGCATTGGCTGGAGTGGTTTAACGCAGCTGCCACTTGACTAAAGCAGTCTGCTGGACGAATCTAGTTTGGATAAATGCCAGGAGAATGTTACCTGCTGGAATGCATAGTGCCAACGGCAGAGGAGGGGGGATAATGGCCTGGGGCTGTTTTTCAGGGTTTGGGCTCCTTAGTTCCAGTGAAGGGAAATATTAGTGCTACAGCAGACAAAGACATTTTAGACAGCTTTACACTTCCAACTTTTTGGTAACAGTTTATGGAAGGCCCTTTACTGTTCCAGCATGACTGTGCCTTACTGCATAAAACATAAATAAAGACATGGTTTGACATGTTTGGTGTGGAGGAACTCCACTGGCCTGCACAGAGCCCTGACCTCAACACCCCTGAACACCTTTGGGATGAATTGGAACTTCAAATGCTAGTCAGGCTTCTCATCCAACATCAGTGCCTGAACACACAAATCCTCTTTTGACTGAATGGGCACAAATTCCCAAAGACAAACTCCCAAATCTTGTGGTAAGCTTCCCAGAAGAGTGGAGGAGGCTGTTATAGCCACAAAGGGGGGGCCAACTCCATATTCATGCCCATGATTTTAGAATGGGATATCCAACGAGCTCATATAAGTGTGATGGTCAGGTGTCCACAGACCTTTGGCCATATAGTGTATGTTTGCATGTGAGTGTATGTACAGAATATACTGTTCAAAAGTTTGGAATCACTGTTTTCAATAATATGAAACCAGTTTCACCACATGTTTAAAATAATATGCCAGTCCTGTTGAGCTCCAAAGATTTCAAATAGTGAAACATTTAATAACAAGGAAGTTGTTCACATTGCATTTAAAAACCCAAATCTGATCTTTTTCTTCATTTGTGACACAAATTTGTGTGGCAGTGTGAACAGTAAAACACATAGAACCTGACAGTTGTAGCTCAATTTGGGCCTTTTTCATACGTAGTACTGAAATCCATGAAATACATATCTGAATTTAAATAAATACCTGATTTAAAAGTCACAATGCAACTTTTAAATCAATTCAACTTAGTCCTCAACTTATTTCACACACCAGAAACAAACACCTTAAAGCAAGTTGCACTGTAGAAAACTCACAGACTCAGGTTACTTCACAGTGGTGGTGATAGGAACCAGAGGTTGCAATGTCTGTAACCCAGATATAAACATTTCATTGACCAAAATTACCAGTGAATCTACACTGTTAATTGAGTTTTATATGCAATGTTGATGGTGTTAAAATAGTGGAAAACCTGAAGTAAAGTAAGTTTTATTTTGGGTACTGTTTTTTTTAAATAAGAACATATGATAATACGCATCAGACAGGGTATTTGAAATGTTTCATGTGTAAACTTTCTGTGAGGGAGCTTTTAGAGGCACTAAATGCTTCACATGTCTGGTTCCTATCACAACCACTGTGAACAATTCTGACAGATTTCTTTAAAATTGAGTATTTCACATCAAACCACTCTGACAAATAATAATGTACTTATGAACCATTTTGCAAAGCTGGGTGGAATTCCCCTCAATAGATAATAGGGTTAATAGGTTTGATAGGTTTGAACTTTTTAACCTACATAGTATGTTGTTATTCTGTATAAAATGGCAAAAATTGTTAATATGACAAGCCATTCCAAAGCTTATGAACGGTACAGGCGTGGTTGGTATAGTGTAGTGGGTAACATCTCTGCCTTCCACGCTGTAGGCTAGGGTTCAATCCCTGCCTGGGCAAACACCCTACGCTTTACCAACAAGAGTCCTTGGGCGAGACTCCTAACACTACCTTTGCCTACCTGTGTAAAAATGATGAAATTGTAAGTCGCTCTGGATAAGAGCGTCTGCCAAATGCCGTAAAATGTACAGTACAGTCGAATGCAAACATTCAAATACCCCTAGTCAGTTTACGTTTTGTTGATTTTCTAAGTGAAAATAAGTAAACACGTCCTCTACAGTGAACACACTTACATATGTCAGTTTTCTGCAAATTGTAGAGCACACTTTCTATTTATTTGCTAAGTTTAACAAATTTTATTAAGCATATAATAAAACATAAAATATAAAAAATAGTGCCATAACTTTCGCAAAAGGGCACATTGTATGCCCCCCCTCAAATATGTTTAATTCCACCAATACACAGTAATAGTGCATTAAAATGTGCAGAAGTGTGCTCTCTTTAGAGGACACAGTATATAATTTAACCGGGGCTCCCAAACTTTTGCATGCAAATGTATATGTTGTAGGCACCAAATATGTGTGTATGTGAGAGTAGATTTGTGCTAGTTAGGGATCAGGGCTGATCCTCAGCAGGAGCTTCAGGCAGCTGCGGTTCAGGCAGTGGGATTACAGCAGTTTTACTGTAAATCGTCAGATCTATTTCTGAGTGAAGGCGCCGAAGCCACAAGCACTGTTCATCCCCTCCATCCGGCTGTACGTACACAGGGTCACGTAAACGTTAGTGACATGTCTGTGTTTTTATTCTGATTGCCGCTACACCTCCTGGGGATGTCGTATGACATGTAACACGACACGCACTCTGAAGTGTAAATGGGAAAGCGGTTTGTGCAGATGGTGTGGGAGCTGCTGCGGATGCAGAAGGGGATGGAACGAATTGTTGTCATAGCAATATAGCCTCGAAGTTCCGCTCTTCTCTGACGCAGGTCGACTCTCATACACATGGAAATCCTGACGTTGTACCAGAAATGTGGCACTGTGTTATATTTGCATTTTTGGGTGAATTAGACTGTGAGAAGCAAAAATATTGGGACAATGAGGTGAAATGAGTTACAGAAAACAGAGTTTTTCTATTTTACATAAACCATGCTGGGAAAAAAAAATGTAATTTGTTATGTTTACTCCTCCAATTTCAGTTGAGGCTGATAAACTGAAAGGAAAATGAAGCTGTTTAAAGTCAGGATTTGGTCCCAAACCCTTTTCATGCAAAGACTTCCTCCATTCTTTGACCCACTGAGTCACCAGCTTCTTTCAGTCGGTGCTTGTTTTGGTGGTGTTCTGGTCTCAGTGTTCACGCTCAATTGAGTTCAGATCAGGAGACTGACCTGGCTGTTATATAACTGTCCACCTTTTCTTTCTGATGAGCTCTTTGCTTAAGTGTGCTGTATGTTTCAGGTCATTGTCTTGCTGCATTTTTAACTTCTGCCTATTAACTTTGGAGGCATATGCTTGGACGTGAGAAGACGAAATGTTTATGTTCATTTCAGAATTCATTCTGCTGCCACCATCCCCAGTTACGTCATCAGTGACCAGTGAAGCAGTTCCAGAAGCAGCCTTGTACACTATATGGATGGAAGTATTGGGACACAACCCTTAATCATTGAATTCAGGTGTTTCCTTCAGTATCTTCACCCCAGGTGTATATAATTAAGCACTTAGCCATGTAGTCTGCCTTTACAAATATTTTTGAAAGAATGGGTCGTTCTGAAGAGCTCAGTGAGTTTGAGCGTTGTGCTGTAATAAGATGCCACTGTTGGAACAAGAAAGTTCTCGAAATTTCTTCCCTCCTAGATATTCCACGATCAATTGTGAGTGGTATTATTTAACAGTGGAAGTGTTTAGAAACTATAGCGACTCAGCCTTGAAGTGAGAGACCACATAAAGTTACAGAGCTGGTCGCTGAGTGTTGAGGTGCATAGTGCATAAAAGTCGCCAACGCTTTGATGATCAATAACTGCACAGTTCCAAACCTCCTCTGGCATCAACATCAGCACAAAAACTGTGTGCCAGGAGCTTCATTGCATGGGTTTCCATGGCTGAACAGCTGCATGCAAGCCTTACATCACCAAGCACAATGCCAAGAATTGAATGGAGTGGTGTAAAGCGCCGCCACTGGACTCTGGAGCAGTGAAAACATATTCTGTGGAGTGACGAATCACACTTCCTTACATGGCAGTCTGATGGACGAGTCTGGGTTTGGTGAATGCCAGGAGAACGTTACCTGCCTGACTGCATTGTGTCAGCGGTAAATTTTGGTGGAGGAGGGATGATGCTATGGGGTTGTTTTTCAGGGGTTGGCCTAGACCCCTTAGCTCCAGTGAAGGGAAATCTTAATACTTCAGGAGACCAAGACATTTTGGACAATTATATGCTTCCAACTTTGTGTGAACAGTTTGGGGAAGAACCTTTTCGGTTCCAGCATGACTGAGCCCCAGTGCACAAAGCAAGGTCCATAAAGGCATGGCTGGGTGAGTTTGGTGTGGAAGAACTTGACTGGCCCTCACAGAGCCCTGACCTCAACCCCATCAAACACCTTTGGGATGAACTAGAGTGAAGATTGTGAGCCAGGCCTACTTCCTCCATGCTTCAGAGATGAAGTAGTGTGCTTTGGATCATACATCTTTTCCCATCACTTTGATAAAGATCAACCTTATCCATCAATAGACGATTGCCCCAGAATTCCTCTGGATCATTTTTGTACACCTTTGGTAACTGCAAATTCCTAAAGGTGCTAATGAGAGATATGCATCTTGCAGTGTAGCTTCTGTATTCCTTCTTTTGATGTCTTCTGCAGATGGTGAATACTGACACTTACACCCCTGCGTTTTGCAGACTGCTTTTGTTTCATTCATTGTTATTGTTGGGTTTTTCTTTACAGGTCTAACAATGTTCCTGTCATCAGCTGCTGTGGTCTTCCTGGAATGGCCAGATTGTCTCAAATTGACTACACTTCCAGTAGTTTCTTTCTTTTTTCTAAATATTCCATGCTGTTGTTTGTAGAACACCCAGTTGTTCTGCAGTGTTTCCAATTGGTATTTGCTTTAATCTTATGTTTAAAATCGCTTGCATTTCCATCATAGTCAATTGTCTAGTTTTCATCGATTTTTAGACCTCTTACATCAAAACAGACCCCCAGTGCAGACACCAGTGACTACTCTCAACCCTACACCTTCACAGCTCTTTTATATATTTTACGATTAAGGGAACATTGAACACCTAAGCGGTCAAAATCAGTATGTCCCAGTACTCAACTGAAATTGGAGCAATAAACACATCAAATGCCCAATCTGGACAATTTTGCCCAGAAATAAAATGCACTGTAGTCTCATACACATCTTTTGATCTGGAATACAAATGGTATGAATAAATAATAACTCATTTTAACTCACAGTCCCAGTATTTTTGCTTCTCACTGTAAGTAGCATATTTCCAGTGTGATGTATGGTAAAAAAGTCTATAGAATAACAGTAAAGACATCAAAGCTGTGCAATAACTGTGATGCAGTTTTGTACACTCTTGGCATTCTCCCAAGCAGCTTCATGAAGAGCCACCTGAGATGTTTTTCCAGCAGACTTGAAGGAGATAAACATATGCCGAGCACTTGCTCTCTGCTATTTTATGTAGGGCACTTGAAAGGAATACATTTATTCAGGTGTGTTCAAACCTTGGAGTGGTACTGTAGATATTTTACATTCAGTCCTGCTAACTAGAAATGTGATGAGTTATGAACAGTGTTGTGGACAGTGTTGTGTCCAGCTTCTGGTTATCAGGAAGAACAGGACTGCACCTCGAGAACTGAACTGGATTTGAGTTGCAGAACTCTAACTATAACTAATTGTATGTGGTGGCTAGGACTACTACGTGGTGATCCTGTGCCCAGCAGAGATAGATGTCCAGGTGCGGAGGGTCCTGCACATCCCACTGTGGGCTCAGAGGGTCATCTACTTGCAGGGCTCCGCCCTCAAAGACCAGGACCTGATGAGGGCTAAGTAAGACCATCACATTCACTCTGAACAGTCTTAAATGTATGATTCCAGGAAAAATATGTTTAATTGATAGAGACCTTTCAGTATTGTGTGATTTTTTTAACCCCTTAAATGGCAAGGATGACGGCAGTTCCAGGCTTCCATGCCTCCCTCTTATAACTTAAGAATAGCTTAGCCAGTTTGCATTGTTTTCCATGGAGATACTGAATAATAGACTTTAGTAAGTAATAGACTTTATGATGTAATACTTCTGTTAAGCCTTAACAAGGCAGTAGCTGGTAATTAACAGGCTGCTAATTACTACTTTATTAAGCAATAACTAGGGTCAAATAAGCATTTTCAGAGCATTTCTATTTATGCGTTATAAATCATAATCTTGTGCACAATATTGGGTGTACAATGTGCTAATTTTCTTTTGAGTCCTACTAACACCTCAATAATACATCACTAATCAGCTCTATGTGGCATCATTTACAGCTAATTAGTGATTTTGTAGAGTACTTTGCATTTTCCAGAACACTTTATTTTATTTCATCATAATTTTATGCACAACCCTTGCCAGAGCACTGAGTCTGTAATGTGTTAATTTTCTCTCGATTCCTATCCATCACCAAATTAAAAGCTCTAAATAAAGACAAACTGACTCTATTCTGAAGTAAAGATTTTGTAGTTAATATGCACAAAGTAGATGTTAATACAGCCTCTAATCAATAGCTATCCTGTTAGATTGCATTTTATTTCCTGGCAAAGCACTAGTTGGATTTCCTCATATCAATACATCAAAAGACTGTCATGTACAAGACGCAAATAAAAGTCCTCTGTAAATGCTCAATTGAATATAGAGGTCTGCACAGGCATGAAATTGAAGCACAAACCCAACCCATACTGCAACTTTGAGACCTGTTCCAACCCAGCCTGAGAGGTACTGCTAAACTTGAAGCCTGAATTTGACCCAATGCTCGACAGGAAATGTAATGCTGGAATAAAGTGGTATTTTACACATCTGTTATGTACACGAACAGTATTTATTATCAGTGTATTTTTGTGGAATTGTATGTCAGAAAGCAGCTTCCACAGCTTCCTGATCAAGGCCCAATCCCATTTCACCTCTTGCCCTTACCACTTAGCCCTTACCCCTCAGTTTTGCATGTTCAAGTCTAGGGGTAGGGTGTCCCAGTTTTGTTGAGATAGAGGGGTAGGGCGAAGTGTTAGGGCTACATGGCCCTCCAAACAGAGGTTCACACTCCAAATAGAGTGTTATGAGAAAAAAAGAAAAACCAGCAAGATAGCTACGCAAGCAACCAAAAAAAACACAAATTTGAGTATTTTTTCCGTTAAAAAATTACGATAACCATTGTATTATCTTAGTTTAAGGTCTTTTCAGTGTATTATGGTCCTTCATAATAAGTGTAGAAAATCACTGGTAGTTTGCTGATGTCTCGGTAGCTAGCTAGATAAATTTCCCGTTCCACCTTAAATGGTGCAGGAGTTACATTCTGATGCCTCAGGCATCCCAACTGCTCCACCATTTAAGGTGGAACGGGACAATTCAAACAAGAAGCATATAGCCGACAGCTTTGTATCACTGAAGAATTAGGGGTGGGCGATAATTAATAATTGTGTCATCCCCCCTCTTTGAAGGCATATGATTCCCTTAATTTAACCAGGGTTGAAGTTCAACAATATATTAGTCACAGTGGATGATGAGAGGGATGTGTTTTTTTTGGTAAAAGGTCATAGCAGATCTTTCCTCTTGCTTGTTAAGCTCGTTCAAAGTGTGTTAAGCACTTCTACAGTAGCAGCAATAGCAAGAGGAACTTTAGTGCAGCAGGGCCACTGTTGGGACCAATCCCATTTCTTATTTTTACCCCTACCCCTTGTTTTTCAGTGTCACATTGCCCCATTGTACATTGAGTTACAAGGGGTAGTGGTTGAAATCTTCCCCTACGAAATGGGACCCTCAAATAAAAAGAACATTACTTCATTAACAGGCTAAGCAGTGCTCTGTAGGTGACCCTGCCAGTCTGCAGTGATAGCAGAGGAGGGTAAAGTTCAGAAACCTTGCTGCTGGGCTTTAATTTGATTTAGGGCCACATTCACCCACCCTTTAAACTCCTGAGCTATTCCTAATGAAGCTATAGACTATAACATTAGAAAAGAACATGCAGAATGTGAAAAATAAACTACTGCATAAAAAATCACTCATTAGAAAACAAACCCAGACCCGATCCAAGCCTAATGTTGTATGTGAAAAATCAAAGTCAGGGTCATGTAGAACAGACCTCTATTTCACCCTAGTTACTGCTTAATAAAGTGGATATGAGCAGCCAGTTAAGCACCAGCTTCTGGTTTGATTAGACTTAATAGGAGCATTACTAGGGCAGTATAATACCCCCCTAAACTGAGCTATTACCCAAGTTTCTTTAAGAAACCAAAAGTGGGTCTCCGGTTGCATTGCTCTAAAGAACCCTTATTGGCACATTTATTCGGGTTGCTTCAGGATGTGGCTGCTCAAAACTGCTGCTGGAAATCTACAACCCTACAGAGTTTACTTCTAACCCCAATCTGTTGCACCTATTGACTTTAATTAGCAGGATCAGGTGATATAATTATGTCACAGGCTAATGAACACATGTTCACTCACAGCTAATTTAACCAAAACGTTTTTTTCTTCAGAATACTCCATTGTTTTGCAGTGCTCTGCTCATTCCCTGTGAAAAGCCTTTATACTCTCTGTTGATAACAGTTTCTGGTAATACTTTCTTTTACAGTCCATTAAGTTGTAGCTATTAACCAGGCAAGTGTGAGATACAAACTCCAGGTTGGTTCCAAGGCAGTTGAACTGAACTACACTGAAATGCCCAACAGGTTCTAGGTATTAACTGGGTAAGTATGTAGTACAAACTCCACAGTTCGGTACAGTTATTGTGGGTAAGTACCTAAAGCAATAGGTAGTTACTAAAGCAATAAGCCACGAGACGTGAAGCGGAGTGGCTAAAACACCCTGCCCCATGATAAAATCGCAGTAACGCACAGCTTCAAGTGGCTTATTGATTTTATAAAACGGCAGCCAACATAAAATATTATAAATACACAAGTTATTGTTAATACTAATTGACATAAACAAGCATTTCGTATCATTACCAACCATGAACCGCTGAATGAGGAGAACGTTCAGTCGCCCATCGCTGTATACTGCGGTCATTTCAGGAACTTCTTAACTTTTTGTCATTTAGAAATGTACATGTGATAACACAGCACTGTTTAATCCAAAAACAGTCACTCTATAAGTACTTTTTGGTCACCAAATTACCACCACGAGTCTTATTTAGGACCAATCCAGCAGCGCCCCTCCTCTTGTGCTGAGGCTAAATCTCAAATGTCTCCCTGCTCCCTACATAGTGCACTACGTAGGAATTTAAGTACTGGATCCTGCACCCCAACGGTGCAAAATAAGGCACTATTTGGCTGAAGAGGCTAGAATTTCAAAACTTTCATAGCACACTGTTTAGGGAGTATGGAGCTGTTTGGGATTCAGCCTGGATTTGACATGACTTCTGACTGAAACACAGACATTTGAAGTGCGTAATCCATTCAAGTGACATTTTTGGACTGCCATTTTACAGTAAATCATGCTGTAAATACTTTAATTCAACCCTGTGATATTATTGATGGAGTTGTTTAGGCTGTTATCTCTCTTTTAGCCTGTTAGCCAGCTGATCAGCCTAGTTCTAGTCAAGAACATAAGTTGCCAGCCCCTCAGTTTAAACAAAAAACAGGTTCTTACCAAAAATAATTACACAGCAATATGGAGTTTGTATTAAGTTGTATTAAGTTATTGTATTAAGTTATTACCTTGAACCCATTGACCATTTCAGTGTGATTTAGTTAGCCAGCTGATCAGCCTAGTTCTAGTCAAGAACATAAGTTGCCAGCCCCTCAGTTTAAACAAAAAACAGGTTCTTACCCAAAATAATTACACAGCAATATGGAGTTTGTATTAAGTTATTACCTTGAACCCATTGACCATTTCAGTGTGATTTAGTTAAATTGTGTCAGAATTTGTTATCATGCTACCCAAAATACTTATGTAGTAGAAGTTTGTACCTCACATTTACCCGGTTAATACCTAGAACTCGGGAGACTAAAAGAAAACACTACTCAGTTTCTTACATTGAACATGTTTTTATAATATAACACATCTTTTTGTGTTCATGAAGCCTTCAGAGGCATCAGAGCATCAATGTTCATGTTCATTTGTACAAAGTTAGTGTTGCTTCTTAACTGTTGGCCTACAGTGGTAAAGAAGAAGGTCCAGAAGAAGTGACCTTAGTAGGACTGAAGATGTCCAGAAGCACATTGCCAGTAGCCCTTCCTGTGTGATTATTTAAGGAAATAATTTGGAAATGCTAACATGACTAGCAGTGGTGGAATATTAGTCATGCATGGAGCCTCTAGCTTTTATTTATAATTATGAATGTTGACATTTTGATTCAGCTGTTCCCTTAAGGAGTGTTTGTGCAATATATTGTTTATGTATGTTTTGATAAGAGTTGTTTTAATTACGTTTTGTCTGTGGCCTGTAGAGAGAGGCATAACTAATGGCCTGCTGTAATACTGCCTCTGTCTATTCCATTTGGCTAATAGCGTCTCAGTATTTAATAGAGGCTCGGTGTGGCTCTGATGTATACTTGTTGTCCTTTTCCACTGATAACCTTTAAACCCCCCTCCTCCCTCTCTCTCCCCCATCTTCATTTCCTTCTTCTTTTTGCATACATTATGGATCGCATCTCTCTGCCCCCCTGCAATTCCGGCTCCTCTCTCACCCGTCTGTTCTGATTGGCTGCAGAATGGATGATGCAGAAGCGTGCTTTATCCTGAGTAACCGGTTTGAAGTGGACCGCCTGGCCGCTGTACGTTCCTCCAGAAACCCTCACTGTCTCCTCTCTGTTCTTTTCCTCCCCTAATCCCCATTTCTCTTTCACTCCTTCTCTCACTTCTCACTTGATCCAGTTCCTTATCAGCATGAATTTTACTTAAGCTCTTAAGCTTTATTGGAGCTGGACTAATTCTGCTGAGGGGAGCGCTGTAATTTAAGGGATTATCAACATGATCAGTGATTTTAATCCAGTATGAATCTGCAGTGTGTGTAGTTCTCACAGTCTGACAGTAATAATTGTGGAGTGATTTAATCCAGTATGAATCTGCATTATGTAAATTTTACAGTCTGGCAATAATAGATTGGAATTACTTTACATACTTTACAGTATGAATTTTCAGTGTGTGTCACTTTTACAGTGTGATTTAGAACTGCTGAGTGACTTTATTCCAGTATGAATCTGCAGTGTGTGTAGTTTTTAAAGTCAGACAGTAATAATTGTGGAGCGATTTTAATCCAGTATGAATCTGCAGTGTGTGTAGTTTTTACAGTCAGACAGTAATAACTATGGAGCAATTTTAATCTCATATTAATCTACAGTGTGTGTAGTTTTCACAGTCTGATAATAATAATTGTGGAGTTAATGATCTTCTGTGACTATTCTGTTCCAAATCAAGCTAATTAATAACAAAACTACTAACAGAAACAGCCATATGCTGTGTTGTTATTGTTATTGAATGATTACTGACCAGATCCATCAGTATGACGTTTCAATCTGGGCTTGAATCTGGGTGGGAATTTTGGGAGAATACACAAGTCAGGTGCCAATTAGTCAGTCAAATCCCACCTATTACTTTACACAACCTTCTGAATTCAGCTCCAACAGGGTTTACATTAGCGTCTTAAAATAAATAGAGTAAATAGAGACTGACAGAAGAAAAAAGGTGCAGTCATTTGCCAGACTTCGATGTCTTGCATCATTTGTTGTCCCCCAAGCTGTGGCAGGAGTCCAGCAGAATCCTTTGACTCTTCATGCCTAAAGCCTATGACACTTTATTGCTGTCATTATACTCTTGAAACACCTTCAGATTTTCTTATATACATTTCTATTTGACCTGTCGTGTTCTGTCATAGCAACTGTTGCAATGTTAGATAAGCTTTACAGAATGCCGACCATAATGAGCTCAGTTTTTGTCAGAATACATTCATGTAAAACGTGTCATTCATTTCAAATTTCTTTTGCATGCATGTGAAGGTCACACTGTTTGAACAGATCAGGTGTAGTTTTAGTTTTTGCACTAAGCAAAAATGCAATATGTGAAAGGGCACTTCGATAAATTTGCAGTTTCAGAGCATGATATTCAGAGGGAGGCCTTGAATCCTTCGATTTCCCAAGTCCATCTATGGAAATGCATTTATGGATAGAACTTTATTTTTCTGTTGGCCACAGTGTTAACTTAGATAACAACACTGAAACAGCTGAACCTTTCACTTAGCTTGTAATGCACATATTTATTTCTCACATCTTGATTATACACCAAAAAGCGAACCCAGTCCAAACAGTGTGGCTTTTCACACATGTATGTAAAAATGAATACCATTTGAAACTTATAATGCACTCTAAATGTAGAGCTGGGCAGTACACTTTTGAATATGAGTTTTGCAAAAGTTATGTGAAGCTTGTTCAAAGTTGCAGTGGTAGTTATGAGAGAATGCATTTGAGAACAGAGCAAGGATAGGTCAGTTGCATTGTGTTTGAGGCACTTTGTTAGAAAATACAATTTCTTTCTGTGTTGGTCACAGTAAGGGTCCTGCTTCACTATTTAATCCCACTAATCCCACATCATTATCTATGAAAGCCAGTCAGTGGGCCGCTGTGTGCAATTTGAAATACAAGTAGGCACTTATGAGCTGTAGGGGTACTCTCTCTCTCTCTCTCTCTTCTTTTTTTCTTCATTTTTTTTTCCTTCTTTATCAGAGTTCTTATATACAGAGCACTTTTCTCTTTTTTATATATGTGTGTATATATATATATATATATATATATATATATATATATATATATATATATATATATATATTATGCTGTGCAAAAGTCAGAGACCACCTTCATTTATACATAGTATAAATTATAACATTAAGTACAAGTTATTTTTCAGGAGATATTACTGAGTATATTAGATATAAGTCTACTTGCATGAGGAAGGGAAAGTCAAGGAGCATAAGTGAAAAAAATCTGAGTTTCCAAAACTGGAGTTCAAAAATTTTGAATAGATACAGAGAAAATAGGATCTTTCATATTTGAGAGAGAGGAGAAAATCAAACTTCACTCAGATCTGAAAAAAAATCACAGGTGTTTCTCTCCATCCTTCCACTGTGGGACGGCAGCTCAGTGCTATAAGTCTGGATGTGTAGCTGTTAAGAAGCTCTTACTGAGAAAAGGCTTTACTGCAAATCAAACAAGCTGCTGGTTTTCTCAGAACAATAGACTGACCACACCAGAGTCCACTTGGATGGGGAGAAGCAGAAAATGCAACCAACTTCTAAGACTGAACTTTGGAGATGTGGAAAAATATCCCTGCAGACTTCTTTGAAAACCTGAAAGGCTCCTATCTCCTGAAAAGAATGGAAATGGTGGACACAGTAAAACACTCTCTGCTGAAAATGTTGACGATTGTAGTTGTTGAGGCTTTTGTGTAATGTTTTGTTAATTACATGTTTTTAGCCTTTTGTTTCTGACACTGAAAAATGAATAATTTGTATTCAGTGGCTGTTTTGACTGGAAAATAGATACATGAAGAATGGTCTCTCACATTTGTACAGTAGATATTGTTCCATTTCAGAACACAGTTGTTTATTGAGTTGACTGTTATATTGGCAGAGTTATTAACCTAAACAGAAGGACAAAGTTATTAACGTCATACACAAAGAAATGATGAAAGGAGCAATTACAAGAGCAATTATAGCGTATCTCCCTACTTTTCCCTCTCTCTGTCTGTTTCAGGATCATCAGACTATCCTCCGGGCCTGGGCAGTGAAGGACTTTGCCCCAAACTGCCCTCTCTACGTCCAGATTCTCAAACCTGAGAATAAGTTTCATGTCAAGTTTGCAGGTCAGAGCACAAATCCTGTTACCCTTCACATCCTCTCTAACCCAGCAGTCAGGTGTAAGAATGGGAAAATGGTGTTATTATGTGGTGTGTGAGTAGGTGTGCGTGTGCGTGTGCGTGTGTGTGTGTGTGTGTGTGTGGAGGCAGACGTGCTGAGTGTCCTTGAATTTTCACGCGTCCTTTCTGAGTCTGTTAGCACGCTGTCGTTCTGTTTTTTGAGTGGAGTGAATCTGGTAATACAGGGTCCCCACAGATCCTTAAAAAGCCTTTAAAAAGTGCAGGTCTTAAAATAGATTTGAGGAATATAACTGCTAAATATGTGTATTACACCAACAGTCAGTTTAGGGTTTTTAACCAATTGTATTGCTCCTTTTTTACCCATCCATTATTATTATGTACATTTTCTATTCATTTCCTTTCCCATCCCTCCATTCTTCCATAAACTGATTTGACTCCAGTTACCTTTTTTCATTTTATTTAGTTGATCATTTAATATATTTACCCATTTAGTTTCATCTGAAAATATATGTTGAAAAAACGTTTTTCCTTCTTGCTCCTTTGTCCTCACTGATGACTGAAAAAGCATAATGGTTTAACTTTTTTGGAGTTTATTAATGTGTTTAAACTAGAACCTTTAATCTAAAGACAAGCACATGAAAATGTGAGCATGTGGCTATTCTAGTCTGTTTTCTGCCACTTATTGCGAGTGATACGCTGCCAAAACTGTCTAAAAACACCCTCCCAACATATTTTTCTCTAGCGAGTCTTTTGGAGTCGTGAGTCTTTTTTAGCGAGTCTTTTTTCGTTTGAAAACAAAACCACCACAGAAATGTTTCTGCTCTTCCAGCCACGCCTTGCCATTTCTGCTAGCAGTGGTTTAAACCCAGCAGCGGCATGACATGGTTGGAAAAGCAGAGAAGTTTCTGTGATAGTTTTGTTTTCAGCCAGTCGCGATTTAAAATTCGCTCAATACTGACAGAAAAGAACAGCTACTGCACACAAAGTATGAAATCATTGGGCCTCATTCCCCAACCGTTCTTGAGAAGAAATTTCTTCTTAAATCCCACTTATACAGTTTTCATTCACCAGTGTTTTCCTATTTGGGATTTAGATAAGAACTGAATCTTCTCAAACTTAGGAGCACAAAGGCGCTAACAAGTCTGCGGTTTGAGAACGTCATGAATCTGACGTAGACTTTCTCTTAGGACCTTTCTCAAGAACAAGTTTTAGAAAAAACGTAGGAAGATGTTGGTGAATGAGGCCCATTTTGAATTCATAACACAATAAAATTATTATTGCACATTAGAAGTTCTCAAAAAACCGTAACCCTGCTGCACATATCAAAGACTTTATTGCATATTAGAGTAATCGGTAGTTACTTCACCAGGGACGTCAATAAAACTGGACTATAAGTGAATATAAAACAGTAGGATGCAAAGTTAGCCAAAAGTCCAAAATATCAGTCCAGAATGTTGCATTATGCACATACTGAAACTGAAGTCATTGTACTGTAGTGTTGTTTGCCAGCCTAGCACATCTTATCTAAGTGTACAGCTGTATTATATATGAAAGCATTTAGGTTGAATTAGACTCAGTATGAGCTGATACTCCATATCAAACGATTCTGACTGGATTGGAGGGAACTTTTGTGTTTGCAGATCTAAAAACATATTTTGTCAAATAGTGATATTTAAATCAGCATTAGGAAAGTTATTTTTGCATATGCAATGACTTTTGAACTGTATTGTACATTTTGGGACACACACTTAAGTTACACCTTAAATTTATTTGATGAAATGTGTGTCATTTCCTTATGAATAGAATATATTACATCAGCACTACTCTGTCTTTCAGTTTACTTATGTTTGGCAATAAATGTGTTGATGTAGTATATTTTATTCATGTGTGAATCATGTACACATTTCAGATCCCATCAGTTTAATGAATTCATTTTTTCAGTGTATTGACAACATAAGGATATGTTTCATTTTTCTAGAGGTTACATCCTCTTCCTGTCTCTTTCTCTGTCTCTCTCTCTCTTTCTCTCTCTCTCTCTGTCAGTGAGGGACAGATGATTGTACACGCTGTCTTTCAGTACAGGTAGCTCCTCTCGCACGCTGCCAAAAAGCCCAAATTAAACCTCATTTGTTGGAGTGAAAATTAGAGATAAGAGAGCACGCTCTGTCTCCATCCCTCTCTCTCTCTCTCTTTTTACCCTTTTCTTCCTTTCTTCTCTTCTCTGTTCACATCTCCGTCTCTATACGTCTTTCTCCATCTCTTTTTCTCCCTCTCTCCATGTGTCTCTCAACATCTCTCTCTCTTTATTTTCTCTATCTGCATTTTTTTCTCTTTCTCTCTATACATCTTTGTCAATTTCTTATTCACTCTCTCCATCTCTATCGCTCTCTACATTTCTTTCTTTCTGCCTCTCTCTCGCTGTTTTTTACTCTATATATATATATTTCTTTTTTCCGTCTCTCTTTCTTTCTCTCTCTTTCCGTCTCCTTCTCTCTCTCCCTCCTCTAGATCTGTTTCACTCTCTCATTCCTGCTCTCTCTCTCTCTAGCATCTTTCTTTCTCTCTCGTTCTTCTCTCTCCCATGTCTCTCGACTTCTCTTTCTCTCAGTCTCTCTATATTTCTCTCTCTGTCCATGTGTCCCTCTCTCTCTCTCTTCTCATTCTCTCTTGATCTTTTTCCATTTCTTCATTATTCACTCTCTACCTATCTCATTCTCTCTCTCCATTTCTTTTTCATTCCATCTTTCTCTCTCTCACTCTCTCTCTTTCTTCTCCTCTCTCGCTCTGCTTTTCTCTCTTGTTTTCCCTTTCTTTCTGTCTCTCTCTCTCTCCTTTCACTCTCTGTTCTTCTCTCTCGCTACATTTTTCTCTTTTTAGAGGTTATATCCTCTTCCTCTCTCTTCCTCTGTCTCTCTCTCTCTCTTTCTCTCTCTCTGTCAGTGAGGGACAGATGATTGTGATGATTCTCTCACATTCTCCTCTCTCCCCATCTCTCTTTCCCTACCTCTCTACCTTTCTCTCGCTCTCCCAACATCTCCCTCTCTGTGTATCTCTCTCTCTCTCTCTCTCTCTCTCTCTCTCTCTCTCTCTCTCTCTCTCGTGTTAAAATACATTTTGATGGGCCGCCTTCGCTTCAGCTGTCTCAGTGAGTGAGTAATGTTTGTGATGAAGCAGTAAGAGGGAAGTCCGGTTTAACCGAGGATCACACACACACACACACACACACACACACACACACACACCTGTTTTTTTATACATCAGGACATGGGGTTATATTTCTTTTAGTGCTGATAACAGTATGTCAGTCAATAGAACTAATTATTTATAGGAGGCGAATACGCAAGAAAAAGTGTGGAAATAGGTACTAAGATTTTTCTGTGCAAGCTCAGTTTTTTTACAGAGCAACTGACTGTAGAATTATACCAATTTAGTGCAGGTGTGGCAGTGGCAAGTGCTCTTACCTGCTCACATTATTTACCTTATAAAACTGCAGCACAAATCGGCCAAAAAACATAATAAACCAGCTGATTGTATGTTTGGAGCAAACATCTGGAGCGTTTCTTATTTTGACCATTCCTATTCCTGCATCCCTGACAGCACAGTGAAACTCCTTTGACCCGCGTATGATCACTCACATCACAGCAAGTGGATAAAAATGACTGACCTTCAGCATTATACCTACAGTACAGCCTTTGCTTTACAATTGTTCGTTCAGTTTTTCAGTTTTGTAAAAAATGGCCATTTAACACGGTGGCCCTTTTCTGAAGACCCCCTAGTGACCGTTCTGCCAGTGAAATGGACATCAACGCTGATGTTTTTAAGTAATATAATCCAATGAAATATTTTTCCCAGTAGCTCTGATATCAAGTTAACTAGGGCACTGTTTGCTCTCTGTGTGACTCTGTGTTGAGCTGCTAGTAAGCAATGAGGCATGAAGGTGGGGGTGGCCACCCCAAAAATGACCACGCCAAGATAAAACAGACAACTGTAGCTTTCTTCATTTCGATTGTGTACAACTTCCCCAAAAAAACACAATAACCGCTTTTAAAGATGTTTACTTGCTTATTCACCTGTGATCATACACATTTCCATCAGTGCTATTGACCAAAAAGAACAGTTCTACAGGCAGGCCTTCTCTAAGACCAGCAGCATTTAATGGCTCATGTGAAAAGGGGTTAAAAGCTGAGCTGTGTACATGCATTGTGTGTCTGTGCATATGTATTTGTGTGTGTCCTCATTTGCATGTGTATGAATGTGCGTGTGCACGCTTGCGCAAGCCTGCATTACTGAAGTGATTATCAAGAAGTGGCATGAAGGGGAATTTCACACTGTTATTAGGAAGACAGAAACATGGGAGGCTGTGATGAGCAGCTGATGAGAGGACTGTGTGTGTGTGTGTTGGACATACCCCTCCACACACTCATGATCACATCAAAGCCCTCCTCCCCCACAGCCCTCCTCCCCCACCCCCACAGACTCAGAAAGGCTGTTTTGGCTCTTGTGTTTCACCTGCGCGACAGCCAGCAGATGGGCATTTTAGTCACTATTCTGTGTGATAACAGAGGTGGGAATAAGTCACTAAATTGCAAATAACAAGTAAGTCTTAAGACCCAAGTCCCAAATCAAGATCTATTTTTTGATGATTTTTGGGAGCATAGGATTAAAATAAAACATAGTGCTGCACGGAAATTAGCTCAGCAAACTGAAAACAACCTCTAGTTGGTATTGAACTGAACTACAGAAGCTGTTATAGCCTGTTAAAGTCAAAATACAAATCAAGGGTGTTCAAGTCAAAGTCCAAGTCATTGGTATTCAAGTCAAAGTCCGAATCATTGGTGTTCAAGCCAAAGTCCGAATCATTGGTGTTCAAGTCAAAATCTGAGTCATTGGTGTTCGAGTAAAAGTCTGAGTCATTGGTGTTCAAGTCAAAGTCAGATTTATTGGTGTTCAAGTCAAAATCAGAGTCGTTTGTGTTCAAGTCCTCG